GTCTCTGTCTTTGGGCAGAGTGCACTCAGGGGCAACTCTGTCAAAAGACAGAGTCGCAGCTGAGAAAAATCATACTGAGAGGTGCCGGCCCTGGGGGAACAGAACAGCGCCCTCTCATTGCACCAGAGAGAGGGATCTGTGCTCGCACCGAGGCCAGCCCAACCGATGGTTGCATGGACTGCGGGCAATTTTTGTTCCTAGCCCGGGTGCACGCGCTCGGGTCTCCACATTAAAAACTGACCTTGTGTCACAACTCGTCTTAGTGGGGAGACAGAGTAAATACCCAGTGTGAAACCGCCTTCACTGGTTAATGGACAGGACCTAGAGGTGACGTATTCGGGTATCAGTGAGTGACTTTCTCGAGTACAGGACGTGGTGTTTATATGTTATGTTTACCAGATGAATTCTTTTTAATCACTTCATCCCAAGCAAGGCAATAAAGCCACTAAGACGCAAAGGGTTACTGAATCTTAGAAAACTTCTATTAAGAGGAAAAGACAATAAAAGAACAATAACTAAGAAGACGGGAGATAACGATTGACGTTGCATTTAAATTAAATCAAAGTTGACTGGGAAGCAAAAAACCGAAAGAGATTAAAGGGAACCCCTAGCATAGAACTTACGGTGACATCTAGCAATTTCAATTGAAAATTGGTGAGACCCTGCCGCCATTCTAGTACTGTGCTTATTCGTCGAGCCTAGGTACCATCGAGAAATTGAATCAGAACAATTACCATGAAAGTATTTATAGAAAAGGCAGAGGGAAGTTACGTTACCGTGGTACGAAAGTGACTAAAGCCGTGATACCAGGTCAGGACCAATAACATTGCAGATTCTTCTTTGGATTTAATCAAGAATCTCTACATAACAGATGTGGCAGCGATATTCAAAACAAGGACGAATGGTAGACTTATAAATATGTAAGATAGATTCTGGCGAGAAAAATTGTCTAGGGAGATATAATGACCCAACTTTCTTAGATGCAGACTTAGCAATAGATTCAAATTACTCTTTCCACTTAATGCCAGCTGAAAACATTCGTCCAAGAATGTGCAATGAGTCACTCTCCAGGGAGGTTAGCATCAGATATGATGATGGAAGGTAAAAATGGTTCTTTTAAATGATTAAAAGAGAACAGTTTTGTTTACTCCAGAATTTATCTTACATATCTATAAATCTACGATTCGTCCATGCTTAGAATATTGCTGTCACATATGGTCCTGCTATATCCTTGATAAAGTCCAAAGTAGAATCACCAAAATTATTGGTCCAGATCTGGAGGCTTCTCCGTAAAGCTGCCACCATGGGCCTTTTCTATAAATACTTTCATGATAATTATTCGGATGAGCTCTTTGCTACGGTATCTAGACTTTATGAATATATGCGCAGTACTAGACTGGCAACGAATTCTCATCGATATAAAATTGAGCTGGCTAGATGGAGCCGTAAGTTCTATGACAATAGTTCCTTTTCTTTTCCGGCTCCATGATTTCCAGCCGACTTTAATTTTCAAAAATTTAAATCAAGTGTCAATTGCTATCTACTGTCCTCCTGATTACTCTTCTTTTGTTCTCGGTCCTCAGTAAGAATTCTTCTTTGTAATTTTTCCACACCTAGTAGTACCTTGTGTCTTTCCACACCTAGCAGTAGTACCTTGTGTCGTAGTTTGTTTATTACCTTTCTTGGGGCGAGCTTGATTGAAAAATCTATGTGTAGTAATTTTATGCAGGTGTTTCCTGAGACATGAAAACTATTTCAACGGCTGCACAGTGGTTGAGAAATGCTATCGTCTGAATGCCATAGTGAGTGACTCTAACAGATGCTACCACCCCGGGTCAGGGTGGACCTGGGAACACCAGCAATTAAGAGGTGGTTGCAAGCTCCTCAAAACCTCCTGATCAGAGGCCTTTCTGTTGGACATAGTTTATCGTCTCACCCAGGACGCGGATGTAGTTTATCGTCTCATCCAGGACGCGGATGTAGTTTATCGTCTCACCCAGGATGCGGATGTAGTTTATCGTCTTACCCAGGACGCGTATGTAGTTTATCGTCTTACCCAGGACGCGGGTGTAGTTTATCGCCTTACCTAGGACGCGGATGTAGTTTATCGTCTCAGCCAGGACGCGGATGTAGTTATCGTCTCACCCAGGACGCGGATGTAGTTCATCGTCTCACCCAGGATGCGGATGTAGTTTATCGTCTTATCCAGGAAGGAAATTCATAAATACAGTGTAACCTCGGTTCTCGAGTCCCTCACATGTCGAACAAGTCGATTTTAGAACAATTCGAGATGAAAATGCCTCGGTTACCGAACAAAATTTCAGCTCCCGAACAATATTACCAAACCGAGTTAGCCCGAACGGAATCATTTCTGAGTTGAACGCTGTGTTTTATACGTTCTTGAGTTGTGCCATGTTTTTCTTTGCCAATTTTATTGTACTGTGACTATTTTTCTCTACATTGCTTCCTATTGGAAAATAATTTCGGTTTACGAACGTTTTGGGTTACGTAATGCCTTCCGGAAGAAATAAAATTCGTGAACCGAGGTTCCACTCTACCGACTTGTGAATATATAATAATAACAATAATACTAGAATTAGCCTTTGAAATATATGTTAACTCTGGTTAACATAAACTAAGCTCTTTTGTTAACAGCTTTGTGGCTTATCCAGAATCTAGGCCTTTTCTTTTTTCTTATCAGAACATCACAAATTGTTTATAAAATAACTTTTGATTTCCCACTGAATACAAAATATTTCAGCATTCTGAGGCATAATTACAGCAACAGTGATTGTCTTGTCAGCTTCTTATATTTGGCATCAGCATTTTGCAAAGAAAGATCTGAGGCAAGAAAATGATTATATTTTTAGTTATTTCTGAGCGAGTTTTAAGAGTTGTTAGAAAGCAAAAGATTTCTTCTCTGCTCGCTCGTGGACGAGTTTAGTGCTATGAATGAATATATACATATAAATACGAGTTAAGTTGAATAACAATACAGCTTTAGCCGTTAAATAAAGGAGCGAAAGGAGAGGCAATTTTAAGTTTATCCCAAATGATTGCCAGACGCATGAAACTCTGAGTAGCATCGTCCGGTAAAAGACAACGGTATAATTCACATTATTTACATTATTCGGACTATTGTCCTCAGCTTTGTCGCCATATTTATTACAACGTTTTGACCGTTGTACTCCGGCCTTCTTCAGGTGGTTGTAATGTCGAACTGAACCCTTTACTTCGCTCACTGGCCACGTGCCATGTTTAATGGATGTCAGTTATCAGTTATCTCTTGTTAATTCCCCTCTGAAAGTTCTCCACTGGATTAACCGGGTATTGAACTCACTCTTTGGGTCGTGTCATTGGATCTAATCAATGCCTTTATCCACCGTGCCATGTGTCCTTAAGGACAATATGGCGTTAAAGATGAGAACAATAGTCCGAATAATGTAAATAATGTACATAATACCTCATCTCAGAAATATAGACAAATACGGTATAATTCATTTTACAAAATGAGCGAAATGCATTATCGGATATCTTTTCGAAATATTATACTTTCATGAGCGTTTTTTGCAATCGTCATTAATATGTAACTTTGTCGGGATCATTTACCCAAATTTATAACACACACACACACACAGACAAGCATATATATATATATATATATATATATATATATATATATATGCTTTTAGACATCAAGAATATTATTGAGGAAATTGTATTACAAAATGTAAAAAGTTTACTTGTGACGCGTTTCGTCCATCTGGTCGTCATCAGACTAAATTTTGTTATGTTAATAGCACTGCACATGCGCACGAGAGAAAGGTGTTGGTGATTTTAGATTTTGTTCATGTATCCAAGTTCGACGGGAGAGAAGTAATAAGTAATATATATATATATATATATATATATATATATATATATATATATATATATAACAGGAAGAGGTTATAGTAGTTCGAACGAGAGAAAAGTGTGTATATTGATAAGAAGAGAGATACCGCAAACATTTTTGGTTGTAATGTGGATTATAATTTTACTTTATGAAAAATAAAACATAATATATTTAAAAAATACACATCACTCTTCTTTATATATATATATATATATATATATATATATATATATACATGCACACGTACACACACACACACCTATATATATATGGGTTTGTTTGTTTGTGTCTATGTGTGTGTGAATATATATATATATATATATATATATATATATATATATATGTGTGTGTGTGTGTATGTATGTATGTATGTATGTATAAGGTTGATTTAGTCCAGGATACAATAGAATTAACAAAAACAAAATAAAAAATAACGTGTAGAGCATTTAACTTTAAAAATCAAGATGTCAGTTCAATTCGCTACCTTGGTTTCAACCTTACTGTATCCTCGGGCGATTTTTATCAAAATTTTGTAACCTTTTGAGAACCTTTGTGCAGTTGTTCGGTCCATTCGTCAGGAACTATGTCTGTCAATTTTCTCGCTTTCGTTATCACAAATCACATCCAGTAAACCTCTACCATAAGTGGCTCTTTGGCCTTGTATTGGCTGAAATATAGTAAAAAGAAACAAACATAGCCGAAATATTTTGAAGTTACTGAAAAATAGTGTAGTTCATAGGTTTTTAAAAACTTACGGTTTTTCAAGTTTCACGAAGTTCGCTAAAGTTTTTCACTGGTGTTCTTTAATTTACCCAATGCTGGATTGGAACTTAAGTCTTGTCAGAATCTCAAGATATTGTTTCAAAACAAAGAATGGAGAGAGGATAGCTTCCAGCTAAAAAGAGACATTTTGAATGTTTCATGTTACTAATATTCGTCTTTCCCGAGTGAATAACTCAGTAAGGAAAAAAGTTTCAGTCGAGATGGAGTCAACATTAGAAATAATTTGTTTTAAGTCGGCACACATAGGATAAACTGAATTTCGTAGCGAGTGTCTAGAGCCAAGGGATTAAATAAGAGAGAAATAGAAAGAGTGTGAAGGAAATTAAGAGAGAGAGAGAGAGAGAGAGAGAGAGAGAGAGAAAAAGAGAGAAAGAGTGAGTGAGAAAAGGGAAAAGGAGTCGGAGTATAAAGAGAGTGTGGGTAGAGAGATAGAGAAAGAAAGAGTGAAACAAAAAAGAAAGAAAGTAAGAAATGAGAGGAAACGATTAGAAAAAAGAAATAGAACGCGAGATAGAATAGAGAAAGGGGTAAACGGAGATAAAGTAAAGAAAGAGAGAGTAGAAGGAGAGAGGGAGAGAAAGGGAGAGTGAGAAGAAGAAGAAGAAGAAGAAGAAGAAGAAGAAGGGAAAGATGAAGAGAGAGAGAGAGAGAGAGAGAGAGAGAGAGAGAGAGAGAGAGAGACCAAGACAGAGTGGGGGAGACGAATGGGAGCGGCAAAGCAAGAAATATATATAGGACCAGAATAGAGACAGTGAGAGAGGCCATAGAAAGAGGCAGAAGAAAGAAAGAAGGAAACGAGAAAGAGAGTAAGAAAGAGATAGAGAACGAGAAAGAAACGAAAGAGAAATACTAAAAAGAAAGTGAGAAAAAAGAGAGGTGAGGCGATAATGAGAAGGAGAAAGAAAAAATACCAAAAGAAAAGGAGGGGAATAAAGGAAGAGTGGGCGACAGTGAGAATGAATTATGAAGAACGGAACGAAAAATATATAGAAAAATATATAGAGGGAAAGATCAAAAGAGATAGATAGAGAGAAAGACAGATATATAGAAAGAAAGGAAAGATAGAAAGAGAAAGAGATAAAGAAAGAGAAATATACAGAAAAGAAAAAAAACGTTCGAAAGAGAAAGATAGCGAAAAACAGAAAGAGATAAAGAGAAATATACAGATAGGAAGAAAACTTTCGAAAGAGAAAGATGGAAAGAGAAAGACAGATAGAAAGAGAAAGAAAGAAAAAAGAAAAGAAGAAAGAAAGAAAGAATATAGCAGAAGCTCAAAAAAGAAAGAAATGTAGATGTCAAAGAAAGTATTACGGGTGGTGTTTGGCAGAAAATCGAATGAAGAAAGAAAGGGGGTCAGATTTTGAAGATAAAATGTCAACGTTCTATACGTAAAATCTAGAATTCTTAGATTAAAAAGTAAATTAAATAAAAAAAAAAAAAAAAATCTGCATATTAAATTAAGAAAACTCCATCTTAGTACACGGAGAAAAAAAAAGCCATGGAATTTTAAATAAAAAAAAATAAAGGATAAATATAAATATAATCCCGTTCCGTATTTCACAGCTGGCTTTTGGAAACGAGTTTTGTATCGCATCTTTCACGGTAAAGAAGGGCGGGAGCAATAAAAGACGATTTTAGTGAATGGATTTTCCGCTCAAAATGTTGACTTTCTTGATTTGAATCGGAATTTGCATATAGAACATATTTTGACATTTATTTATTATAGGAGGCACAGTGGAGTAATGGATAGCCGAGTTCGAATTCCAGTCAAATCCATTATATTAACTTACTTGCTAACCCCCTTGGGAAATGTATGAATCCTTTTTTTTCTCCCACCAGCTATGGAATAATAGTAACAGAACGGGTTCTATAGTCATGGATGGCAACTGCCCTACCGCAGAAAAAATGGCAACCTACTTCCGGGAAAAAAATCTGCTTCGTCAGTCATGTATCGAAAGATACATAATCGCCTAAGCGTGTATCACGCATGGCACATAACTGACTGATTTATCATATACTTATTCTTTTTACTAATGTTCATCTTTTAGAAATTCAAAGAGCAACTCAAAGTAAAAGGTTACTAAAGGATTATTTTGTGTGAGGCGCAGTTTATGAGGATATGTAGGAAATCTAACAGTTAAGTCTAGACGTGAACGGGTTAAGATTGTAATGGTCGAGGAAAGCATCCTTGAAGCTGTTTGAGTAGAACTTTCTTTTCACGAATGGAATACAAAGGGAATGAGGGTGCTTTGCCTGAGTGTAAGGGGCGTGGCTGGTCTTAGCTATGAGAATTAGAGTTAGTGGAACTAAGGAATATAACTCATCTGTGAATTCTCTATGGAATAGCAACAGATTTGCAACCCGCATGGTGTATGACGATAAACGACATCCGTGTTCTGGATAGTACGATACATTATATCCGCGTCCTGAGTGAGACGATAAACTACATTGGCGTCCTAGGTAAGACGATAATCTGCATCCGCGTCCTGGGTAAGACGATAATCTACATCCGCGTCCTGGGTAAGACGATAAACAACATCTGCGTCTTGTGTATGACGATAAACTACATCCACGTCCTGGATAAGACGATAAACTACATCCGCGTCCTAGGTAAGACGATAAACTACATCCGCGTCCTGGGTAAGACGATAAACTACATCCGCGTCCTGCGTATGACGATAAACTACATCCGCGTCCTGGATAAGACGATAAACTACATCCGCGTCCTGGATAAGACGATAAACTACATCCGCGTCCTGGGTAAGACGATAATCTACATCCGAGTCCTGGGTAAGACGATAAACCACATCCGCGTCCTGGGTATGACGATAAAGTACACCCGAGTCATGGATAAGACGATAATCTACATCCACGTCCTGGGTGAGAGATAATTTACATCCGCGTCCTAGGTAAGACGATAAACTACACCCGCGTCATGGGTGAGACGATGAACTATGTCCAACTGCAAGGCCTCTGATCAGGAGGTTTTGAGGAGCTTGCAACCACCCCTTAATTGCTCTGAACCGGTGTGGTAGCACCTGTTAGAGTCACAGCTATGGGCAAATAGATAACTCCAAACTGGGGTCAAAACACTATAAAAGTGTAAAAATAGTTTTTAATATCAGAAATATATTTTTGTAAAAAATTATTTCCAGCAATGCATTTTTTGAAATAGAAAAATATTACCAGCAATAAAAATCTTGTCGGCATTAATTAACCCATTGAGATTGATATGCTGTAAAACAAACCAGACCAAACCAAACCAAACTAAACCAAACCAGGCTTTCAACGATCCGTTTGTGGGAAATCGGTTGTAGAGTGGAAACTAATTCATCACCCACAAGACCGTATCCATGCTTTTGTACTCTATCAAGGCTTGAAAGTGAAGATTGGGCAGTCTCAACCCAGATATGACAGCAGTACTCAATTTTCGGTTTCATCTTTGATCCAGCAGGTTCTAAATGAAAACGTCTTTTAGTAAAGAAGCGAAGATAATATTTTAAGTTAAACACAAGTAACATAAATACAGATTTATCGACCGTTTTGAAAAGAAAAGTAACTTTTCATAATTTATTTTATTGCTTTTCAATTGATATAGTCTAGAATTTTTTTCTTTTAGGAAAATCTATTACAAAGTGGAAAACATTTTCGTGTGACACGATTCGTTCTTTATTACTTTATCGAACTAAAGTTATGTTTCTGCCGATATGATTACATATGCACAGGAAGGAGAGGGGACGCTGAGAATTTTAAATATAATATGTATTTTAGGTATAAATCTAGTCAATTTAACTTAGTTTATTTTTCTTTAGGTTTTTTTATCATTTTTGTTATTAAATATCCTATATTGTTGTAAGCAACCGATTTTTCATCGCCTGTGAACGTTCTTTTCAAAGATAAGTAGTTTTTATTGTATTTCAGAAAAAATATCTCAGATGGAAATGAGATCCATTATTTTTATTTTTTTGGAAGAATAGAATCATCAAAACGGGCCGCTTGATGAAAACCAGATATCGTCAAAACATCCGACCAAACGTAGAAAGACTCCTGTACCCAAAATTTTTTCAAATGTGTCCTTACAGTTCCTGACCTATTAAGAATTAGAAACCTACGATAATAAAAAGTGGGCTCATAGAAACCATGTGGTGTATCTCTGCGTTATTTTACTGAATCCATTTGATTTGATTGTCATCTAAAACGATTTTGTTTTTTCAAGAATGCCAGTCGGAACAATTTCTCGGTCTTCCAGAAAAAGAAGAGAAAGAAATGCCCGATCAGGAAATTGGTCGAAAACGGTATCTCGAGAACTAAGAGAGATGGTGTGAACCCCCCTCAAAGGGCACTGTGGAGGAAGTAGGGTGTGAAAAACAATAGCGATAATGAAATCAAAAAAATGCTCAGCTACGGCGACAGACCCACCCCAGTTTGTTTATATAAACAGCCAGTCGACAGAATTTTACTGGACCGCGGGCAGGGATAGCCTGAACGCGGGCATCAGGCCCGATTTTTTTCTTTTTCGGAAATCGAAGAAGAAGAAATTGCCTGCAAAAAGAAGTTGCAGCCAAGTCGAAGAAGAAGAAACTCGAAAGCCGCAGAGAAGTTCAAGTGAACCCAAGTCGAAGACAAGAAATACAAATACAACTCAAGTCGAAGAGAAGAATCAACTGCGAATGATCGATAGAAAGTTTCATATTCAGTATAAAAACGGACATTAAGATATAAAAATGTCACAATCTTGTGTTTTGCCACCCCCGTCGGACTCAACATCGGAATCCCTGCTGGTCCTGTCTGTCTAAGATCTAAAAATTTCACCATTCAGAATAGGCGAGGTTGGTGGATCATAAGATATATGGCGCCGTAACCAGGGATCTGTCACATTATTGTATTTCAGTCAGATGGAAATGAGATTATTTTTATTTTTGTTAAATCATCACAAACTCAAACTCAACCATTGTTGAAAATGTTTTCAAATTACAGTTCTGCTCATAGAAAATCTCTGCGTTATTTTTACTGATCCATTTGATTTGGTCATCTAAAACGATTTTTTCTTCCAACTCAATATTTCTGAGTGTATTTCAGCTAAACATTTTTAAACAGCACATATATTTTACTGACTGTACAATTTTTTTTTCTTTTTTAAAGAAAAGAAATAAAGAAAAAATATACTGAATATTCAGTATAAAAACCTTGAAAATTAAAATCCCCCAACGTCAAAATTTCATTAAGAATATTAAGATATATATGATGCAAATCTCTTGTTGAAAAAATGGAAAATGCTACAAACTTTTGTTCCAACTCAATATTAAGTGTATTTAGAAACTT